GTCTACATTCATTGTACAAGATGCAGCTTAGTTTCACGGCCTAATTTCAGAGCAAAAACAGTGCATCTTATACATCAACAAATATGATATGCCACCACAGCTCTCTATTCACAGCTCGTATTGGGGCTTACAGCATGTGTCTCAGAGCTTCAACTGGCCAGAAACACACATGGATATTTCTTGGAGATACCTCAGCTAAGTGATTTATGTGTATTCTTGTTTGTAAATGTAACACTGTCTATACATATCATGTGCTAATGAAGGCTTTCTAGCCGCAACGTTCATTTGTTGTTTGTGACTGTTATAATGTGAAGCTAATCTGTTCTACTATCTGTCTAGTTTTGATCTCTCTTCATAATATCATTTTACTTACAGCACAGATATACAATTCCTTTCAAAGATGGCTTACAGGACAAGATGGTGACTAAACTGGAAAACAGCTGACAGTGTTAAAGGGACAATATCAAAACACAGTCCCACAATTTCGACTACAAGCCAATACTATTCCTCCTACAGCATCTAGCAATAGGTGCCCACTAGTCACAAAGAATCAACACTTCCAACAAATACAAAGATGCTCCACGTCTGCCAGCAAATACGGTAAAGTGTACATATAACTGTTTCCGTAAACATATTGGTTACAAACATTTCAGATCTGCCCCACAAACCTCTTTTCCTTTTTTACTTTAATACAAACAACCATCTTTAAATAGGCCATTTATTTGCTAATGATACTTTAAACAGAAGATGTTCCTAAGAAGTCATCAGAGTACCTGTCTTGACTATTCAAATTCAATCTCTATGTGACTTAACTTACAACAGAAACAGGCCATAGGTTTCAGTTAAGGTACACATGAATTTCATAATTCCAATATTTATAAATGTCTTAAACAATTACGCTCGACGCGGATCGGAAGGTCATGGGTTCACTCCTTGGTGAAGCCAGACTTTTTTTTAAAAATGACATTGGCTTCCAGGTTGACCCGGCCTTGAGTGGGAACCGGGTGCAGTCCCGGAAAGTAGAGGCGGCCAGCGTGATCCTGACCACGTCACCCATAATGTGCCGATTGGTTTATAAAAATATAGGTCCAGCCCTATATGCCCTATACGCCTAGAGGCGTGAAAAAGGGTCCTTTACTTTACTTTTTACTTACTTATACAATTGTGCAGGCAAAGTACAGAACCATTTTCATGCTAATGGTGTATCGGGCATGCTTTGCCCGATGCTTGACAATTTTGTGCTGTTTCTGAGGTGGGCCTCTTCTAGCACCTGGCTGATGAGAACAGTAATCCTGCGATTTATGAATTCCAGAGAAATTTGACTAAAAAGCTCAACAAAATGGGAAAGAGGAAAACGTGCACAAAACAACAAAACGTAAAAGGCTGCCCAGCCGAAACGTTACGTTTTGTTGTTTTGTGCACGTTTTCCTCTTTCCCATTTTGTTGAGCTTTTTAGTCAAATTTCTCTGGAATTCATTGTATTAGCTTGACTGCAGTCACCCCCATAGTTTAACCATTCCTGCGATTTATGTGTATTCTTGTTGGTAAATGTAACACTGTCTTTACATATCATGTGCTAATGAAGGCTTTCTAGCCGCAACGTTAGACCAGACCACTGGGAGTTGAACCGTTAATGACTGTCATGTTAAATAAGTGCACTAACCATTATACCATCTTCGGCTGCTCCCACTCAATGTACACTTACTCTTCAATCAACTCCACTAGACCATGGCTATTCAACTAAGTTGGCCCAGGGCCAAAATCATGAAAATGGGACTGACATGGGCCAGTGGCCTGAGCCCCAGCACAGAAAGATTCATTGATAAAATACAACTGGCAACATTCTGCAAGCCACGTGCTAGGCCTCCGCCACCCGTTGAATAGCCCTGCTATAAACCAATTGGCACTCAATGAGTAATGAGGTCAATGTCCCCTCATCCTCCTTTTACTTCCCAGGTCACATTTAATAAAAATCCACCACAATGCAGATTTAAACCCAAGAGTTTCAGGCTGGTATGCAAGCACCTAGCCAGGTGTACTACAGAGACACCCATCTTCAACTGCTCCATGTCCACAAATATTTACTCTTCAATAAAATCAACTATTTCATAAAACTACATAAAAGTGCTCCAAATAAACTGGGGCCTTGGTTTAAATATAATGCAAGACATCAAATGTCAACACATAATACATAACCCCCTCAGGATAGACTTAAACAAAACAGGCGGCACACTCCGCACAATCCTGCACATCAAACGAAAGATACCATCAACCACTAAACACTCAATTGCGAGCTTAAGATTCTTTTCCACTCCAGTGGGATACTGGTTATATGCTGCTAAATCCCTATTTTCATAGACCATATAGCACTCGATACGATTAGTGTGGGGATGGCATAGTAGTTAGTGCATTTATTTAACATGACGTTGTTCAAGGTTCAAGCCATAGTTAAGAGCAGGATTACTGGTCTGATCAGTCAGGTGCTAGAAGAGGCCTGTCTCACAAAAATTAACAGAAAATTGTCAAGCAATTACATGGGAGGCTAAGGTGACAAGAAAAAGATATGGTCACCTCATACCACTATTATGTTATTATGCAATGGCTACATCCCCCATTATCATTGGGAAAATTTGATCTTTCAGTGCAAGCTTATTCCACTGAGCAAAAAAAACTATTTTCACGTCACTGGAGACAAATATGATTTAGGAACTTAAAATAAATACCTCTTGCATAACAAAAATAAATACCTTTTGTGTAACAGAAATATGGACTAAACCCATAATTTTACAGACCACATAACACTCAACGGGTTGTGTAGTCAACATCACATCAGTCACCTTTACTTCCAATAACATTTCCTGGTACCTATTTTAGCCTTGGTCAACCTGGGAGACCTAAATTTGTTACTCTTTCTGAATGCAGATTAAGTTGAGAGAATCGACTTCAACGCGTGCGCCGTGTCTTACCCCATATGGCTTGGTCACAGCTAGCTGCCTACCAAGACTACGGCTAAAAGCACAAGACAAACGACTGGCCCACTTTGGGGGGAGACCCTCATCTGATGTAGATTATAACACAAGACATTTAGAGACTTCATGTACTGCCAACATCATAGTTAGCATCTTTATCATCATTTGGATCACTATTATCATCAAATGATTTTATCTTTTCGCATCTGCTTATTTATAAACTATAACCCAAGTAATGTTGTCATGTTTTCTGTAAGTAAATCTATTTGTTATTATATTTCATATTTATGTTCTTCTTTCTGGACAGATAGCTGGTGAAACAGAATCAGTTTGCAAGAGTTGATCAATGAAGAGTCATGCCCAGGTGACATTATATATAAAGATGGGTCTGCAGTGAGAGGTAAGAAGAGTGGGTTGGGTTTCATTGCACAGGTGAATGGACACTGCTTGAAAACAGGGAGCCTCAAATATAACATCACAACATCCAGTATGAGAATGGAGGCATCTCACATATAACATCACAAAATCCAGTACAAGAATGGAGGCATCTCACATATAACATCACAACATCCAGTATAAGAATGGAGGCATCTCACATATAACATCACAACATCCAGTATGAGAATGGAGGCAAAGGCAGTAACAGCAGCTTTCCAATGTCTTGAGAACAGCACAGTCTGACATGTAACTGTAACAGACTCACACAGCACACTTTGAAACTGGCATCACATGCTTAGATTGGCCTGCACCACTTGATATGACTCAGATCAGGGACATAACATGCTTTTTCTGATTAGGATAATCATGTGTACAGGGTAGTGAGAAGGCTGATAGATTTGCTGCTGCGCTCCTTTGGGCAGTGAGCTACTTTATGATAGAGCAGACATGGTAAAGGCTCTCTGGGATGAAATGAAGAATGCAAAAGAATGGACAGAGAATCCATACAGTGAAACACTAACTCAACAGGGGCGAACAGAGGTTTAAGAAGACATTCAACACTAAGCGGGGACACAGACAGACGTTCAATCAGGTTGTAACTGGTACTATTAACATGTTGATTCTTTCTTTGCTACTGAGGAAGGAGATGAAACACGTGTGGAAACGTCCTGGAGCAGTCATGCCTATTCTTTATTTATTTAATCATATATTTTAATCTGTTTGCTATTATCATAGCTTTGTCATTATCATAATTCTAACCAATACCATACCACTGTTGTATGGCAATCAGATCATATTTGGCACTATCAGCATTTTCTTTTCTGTATCCCCCACTCCAGGACTGCAGTGTTAAGGTCTGAAACTAAAGTAATCCCAAGAGCGACAATCTGAATGTCAACCTGCTTCTTCTTCTTTGTTCACCGGCTGTAAGCTCAGGCGGAAAGTCCTGACTGTTCACCCATTTGGACTTTGGCTTCGTGCCAGGGCTTGATTTTTGCGTGTATAATAGATATTTTACTGGTTTACTTGTGTGCAGCTGGTTGTTCCTTGCCTCTCTGGCAGATGCAATCCGACTTCGAAGAAAGCCCCCAATTAGTCGACTCTTACTATATGCCTGTTAGGAGGTAGTGGGTCAATTCTTGTTTTCCCCCACAATGGGGTCCAGGAACCCACATGAGGAAAATCAAACAAAAACAATTCCTAGATACCCTGTTCAACTGTAAGAAAAAATTATTTTATGACACTATGGTTATACCAAGTACCTAATGTGCTGTGTCTTATGCAGGTAAGTGTATTCATTATCGCAGTAAATCAAATCAATGACATATAACATGGCAATGACATATAATCATATAATACATATAACCAGATTGTGACCGGTACCATCAGTATTGGAACTCTGCGCTGGTGGCTAAAGATGAGGAGGGAGCACTCATTGGAACGCCTGAGTGCTGTGATGTCAATTCTTGACTTCACTAACTATTACTAACTCATTTAGGAATAACTCCGGATAAACATATTAAAAATACATAAATAACACAATCTGTGATTATAAGAAGTAAGCAAACATAGAACTTATGTAAAATGCCCTACCTGCAATACGGATTACAGCTCTATCTGCTGGATCAAGCTGTAGTATACAAAGTGGGAGTTGAGTATAATCCGTGTAATATTGATAGTCACGTTCTCCCCACGGGCTCTCCATTGTTCTTGTTCTATTATTAAGTTAGTCCATCATATCAATATTTTGTGCTTTCAATACTGTTCACGCATCAACGGTTCTTGCGTCTGAAACACAAAGAGAAGATAAATGGTCTAGCAAGCTAAGTCAACAAGTGTGTTTTATTGAACAAGTGCGTATTGGTATCGTTATTATTTGTCAGCCAGTCTCCCTCCCCAATATGTCATATCGTCATGATGATCATTCGTTATCCTGTAGTGCCGTTATATGCCAAATGGGGCAAACAGTTTATTGTTCCATTCCGTTATTTCTGGTTCAGCACAGTTGGCCTTTCTCATCAACTCATCATCTTACGGCACGGCTCATATTCTGTGGTGAGTAGTAGTTTTAATTTGACCACCCACACTGAACTGAACTCACAGCCAAATTTTTAATTACAACCCACGACTCACACATAAAATAGGAGAGTTTCCGCGACACAACACTAGAAATATATCCTCAAAATAAACACTCGCAATAAACTAACACACGATTGAAACTATAAAGAAAGTTACAATCCAGGACAGACCGATTATCTCTCTCTCTCTCTCCGACTTTACCTGTAAATCTGTGTACCAGAATATGGCCGCCGGGCCGCTGTTATTTCACAGTCGTGTCCCTTGCTCTTTAACCGCTGTTGTTTAAATCTTCTCTGTTTACTTAACGTTTTCTCTAAATCCGTTGGGCATTTATGGGGTTATCGGGTCGTTTTGTTGTTCTAATCCATCGGCTGGGCGTCTGTGAGTGCGTGTTTTCTGGTGTTCCTGTGGGAGCACTGGGAGTCGAGGGATGTTCTCCTGGGGGGAGATGGGAGTCGTCTGCTCGTCGATGATCACAGATCGATACAACAACACTGGTTTGTACCACGGCGTTTTATTGGTCAGTGGCAGCCAATCAACGTTTTGATAATGACATCACTGGGCGGAGGCGACCATGGTCACCTCATTTAACTCTTCGCCGTTGATAAAGACTTTGGTCGAAACGTTCGGTTGTATTTCTGCATGTTTTTTTCCCCATTCCCTCTGTAGAACTTTCTAGTCACATTTTATGTTGTATTTAGTATTTCTTCACCATTATACTTCGTTTATAATTTTCTGCAATTCGCTCTTGGATTCAGACATGACGGTAGCTGAGTTAATTCTAAGCAGAATGAAGGTGACGATATGTATATGAAGAATACAATAAAAACAATAGAGTCAGGATGAGTTTAATTTAGTTAAAACTGATATTACATAACTCAGTACATTCCCATACGCACTCAGTCCTCATCTTCAACAGCCAATGCAGAGTTCCAGTTCTTAAATTAACAGTAACAACCTTATGTCCGTATTGCTTTTCCTCTTATGAGCAGTGATTCCCAAACGGTGCGCTCCCCTTTTTACACTTGATATTATCGATAACATTCAATATAGTGAGTTGTTTTGGTTTTTTATCCTTACTTTACACTTGCACATTATCCTTGATCTTTATTATAGTAGCCTTCCCCTAAACTAGTTCATTTTTTTTTTTTCATTACAAAATTCATGTATGGAACTTTATTTTATATTGTCCCAGCGTTATGTTCTTCTTCTTCTTTTTCTTCTTCTTCTTCTTCTTCTTCTTCTTCTTCTTCTTCTTCTTCTTCTTCTTCTTTTTCTTCTTCTTCTTCTTCTTCTTCTTCTTCTTCTTCTTCTTCTTCTTCTTCTTCTTCTTCTTCTTCTTCTTCTTCTTCTTCTTCTGCGTTCGACATCAGTCATGCTAACATTGAGGTCGCAACCGGTCCCCCATAGCTTCTCTTGCAATGTGGCTCCCTTGGGCCAGATCCACAGTCTTTGCTGGGAGATGTAAGAGCAGTAATGTAGTATGTGCCCAGGGTTCTGTCTTTCTGCTCCACAATCACAGGCAGCAGATTCTTGTATGCCTATCCTGTACAGGTGTGCTTGAAGACCACAGTGTCCAGTCCGAAGTCCCAGCGTTATGTTGCTTGGCTGTTGTGCGGATGTGAGGGGTAAAAAAAACTCACAAAAGATAGCAAGGTATTGTCCCAAATGCAGTGTCATAGGACCTTGATCTATTAGTCTTTGCAAGCAAAGTAAAGCTAGAAAATAAATTTCGGTTCCAAATGAATGAATCAAGCTTGAACTGTATTGATTTAGGCTATTAGTAATTTTTTTTTTTTTTTTTTCTGGCATGTTTATCAAGTTTACGAATTCTTGTTCTTGCTATGTTTGTTTCGTTTTACACAATATTAAAACTATGACTAAAAACTTTCTTAAGTAGCAGTCCCACTAATTTTAGCCACGGCACACCATTTCTCTCCATGAGGTAGTGATATATTCTTGTTTGTGCATTGTTCGCTTGCTTCTAAGGACCTTGATCCCATTTTGCTAGTTGTATCATAGGAATAGGGATTCTGCGTGGTTGCTAAAGATGGGAACGGACCGCTATTGGGAAAATTCCTAGTTCTGTGATGTTGTTTCTCAAGCAACTTTACTCAATAACTGAAACATTATTCGGTATCGATTTATAATAAGTACTCCCGGCTGCATAAAGCTATAAAACTCTCAGGACTGAGAACCTGTAGAAGACTTTCTAGCCGTAACGTTCACTTGTCGTTAGTGATTGTCATAACATAAAGCTGGCTAGTTCTACAATTCGTCTGGTTTGATATATTTTCAATCCTTTATCGCTTCACCGTAGTTCATTAATTTAACCTCTTTCGTGTGCTCCTCCCTCACAGAACTGCTACTATCTGTTTGATGCCGTCTAAGTAATCTTTCCTGAATTTGTTTTCGCAGAAAAGAAATACTGACATTTTAAAAGATCTGAACATCAAAGAAGATTGGCTAATAAACAGCACCTGTCTCTGAAGCTAAAATATTTTGATTATATCAAGCGCCACGGCGGATTGGAAAAAAAAAAATAATAGCAGAAGGCATGGTACCAGGAAAGAAAGGGCAGGCGCCGACCAACACGAAGATAGGAACAGGATGACTCCTTGAATTTCAACGTGCATGAGGCGAGGCGAGAGAATAGGCCAGAGACCGAGTTTCTTTCAGGCAAATCCCGATGAGAGCGACATTCTCAAACGACCTGCTACATAATGATGATGATGATAATGATGATGATGATGATGATGATGATGATGGTGGTGGTGGTGGTGGTGGCCGTTTTAAGTGATTTTGTGTATTCTTGTTTGTAACTGTAACAATGTCTATTCGTGTCAAGTGCTGAAGAAGGCTTTACATCCGCCACGTTCAGTTATCGTTTGTGATTGTGATGATGTGAAGCTAGCTGGTTCTACTTTTCGTTTTATTGGATATCGTTTATGATATTATCGAGGATCGAACACACGCTCAAAGGGGTCTAAGGCTAACGTGTAGACCAAGCAAATGCCACCACAGTGCAACGCTATGGCTAAGGTTAGTGAACGCGTTTCATTATCCTTGAAGTACCAATATTTGATTTCAGAAGAAATTGAGAAAGGCTATTCTCGTTGTCTTCTGTCAGGCGTAGGAGAGTTATACCGTAGAAGAGTTTGGGACTCCACTAAATTAACACTCCTAAAGCCACCAGTAGATTCACATATACACTGCAGCCATCCTTCATTGCGGAGACGGCACCATTAATCCGCTTACTCGCGTTTACCAGCTGTAAACACCGGCAAAATGTTATGGTGGCTCGTCCACTTCTGGACTTCGGTTTTGTTTCAGAACTTTAGTTTCGCGTGCATATCCGTTTTACAGATCTGTTAGCAGACTGTGGATTCCTAGCCTCTCAGGCATGAATACTCTGACTTCGTAGGAAAAGCTAATTAGTCGACTTTTACGACATGCATTTTGAAGGGGCAGTAGGTCTACCCCCCCCCCCCTCTTTCCTCTTTCCCACCCTTTCCCCAAAGGGGCCCAGGAACCCACACGGGGAGGTACAATAATAATAATAATAACGACCGATGCAACACGTTGTGATTGTACTAATAAATACCTGAAGATATCGAACAGTTACGGGTATTAAATCCTTACGCATAACAAATGGGAAAGTACGCCTTCATTATATTCAAGAAAAGAGAATCCATGGGTGAGAACTGTGCATAGCTGGCTGAGTGTCAGCTGGCCCTGACAATTTCAGCACGTGCGGCCTAGAATGTAGAGAAAAGCAGGCAGACCCAACATTCCCTTGATTCCTTCAGCACACAGACGCATTTCATTGATTAAGAAAGACGCAGGCCTTCCTCCGTGTCAGTGTGTCTCAAACTGTACAGGGCAGTAGGGACATCTGTTGACCTATTCACGAGGCTCGTTCTGGTTCGCTTCTTTTATTTGACTCCCTCTCGGGGATCTGAGATTCTATGGGGAGTTGCTTCTTCTTCTTCTTCTTCTTCTTCTTCTTCTTCTTCTTCTTCTTCTTCTTCTTCTTCTTCTTCTTCTTCTTCTTCTTCTTCACTTGCTCTTTTACCGCTGTGGGTATCGAGGGAGATATAAGGTTCTGTTTCTAGCTCTTCTGGCCGCCTCGACCATAGACACTTCGTGCTGTTGTAGAGTTTCTCTGATGTTATTCTTTCATATTGTTCTTGGTCTACCTCGTGCTCTACGTCCTTCTTCTCTTTCCATGTATGCTTTGTATGGTATGGTGTCACAAGGCATTCTCTCTAAGTGGGCAAACCATTTCACTTGCTGTCTTCGTATGTAATCCAGAATTGGTTCTGTGCCGACTTTTTCTCTTATGATCTCATTCCTGATCTTACTTCTTATGGTAACTCCTACAGCCCTTTTCATACATCTCATTTCCGTGGTTACTAATTTTCTTTTATGGTTTGTTGTGAGTGACCATGTCTGGCACTGGTAGCACAGAGTTGGAATAAATATGCTTTGAATAAGATGTCTCTTTGTGCTGATTGGCATTGTCTTATGCTGTAAGAGGGGGGCTAGCTGTCCCAATACTTGGTTTGCTTTACTGCATCTAATGTTAATTTCTTTATCCAATTTCCCATCTTCGGTAAATGTAGT